TAGTGGGCCGGGAATTAAGCTCAGTGGTTCCACTGACTGCCTCATAAGCTCAAGGTCCTGAGTTCGATCCCTGATACCAAAAACAAACAAACAAATAAAAATATATTGTTATTATAAATGTTTTTGTGAAATTTTGCTAATTTAAAACATTTTCCAAGGACTGTATGTGTGCAGCTCTGGGTTCAATCTCTGGCACCAGAGGAGAAACAAGAAATAGTCCTCCAAAGTGAACTCTCTAACACAGTTCCCGGACTGGCTGTCCATGTCTGGTACCATTCTTTTGAAGATTCTCCCCTGCTGCTGTAATAGACGACAGACCACATTTCCAAGCTTGTTAAATTATTACCTTGGAAGGTTTTGGCAGTTTCCCACTCAGTCACATTTTCCAGTCATTTTGCTCTCCTGTTTATAGACCTGCTAGTTCATGCTTAGCCAATGTCCAGGAGGGACTTGGCTTCAGGCAATCCTTTTTTTTTTTTTTTTTTTTTTTTAATGCTTTTCAATTTTGACATCTCTGTGTTAGCTATTATACAATATTGTTACAGCCTACTTTTTTCTGACTTGTATTACCCAGGAGACAATTCTGGAATGAACCTGGACTAGAATTTTACATAGTATCCTGAGTTTCTTAAAGGTTTTGGTATTATTTCCTATAAATCCATAAAGTCTTCCCTTTTCTTTTGTATACATACATGATTTGAACAATTCCTGTGCTCTGCTTGTATTCTTGTAACTTTCTTAGCCACAGGCAATTACTATGAGAAGTAGGCATCTGATCTCAGTTGGCAGGTTAGACCTCCATGCAGGTCAAAGCTGCTTCCTTCTTTTCTGTTCCATGGGCATTTTGTACTTGGTTTGGTCCTTTGGTTTTGAACGAAAGTCAGTGCTTCTCAGAGATATTCCCCTGGGCTCTAATATCTGTTCTCTCTGTTTATAAATGGAAACACCTTGTCATTTTTCCTGAGTGACTGAATCTCTCTGGAACTACCAATCACGAAAATGATTCTAGAACCAGAGACAGTAAAATGGCCCACTGATAGAACAGTAGGAAGCAAAAAAGTGAAGGGAGATTTTGTTTCTAAATATTCATACACACTCACTGATATAAAAGTGGCAAGCAATTCCAGAAACTAAGGACTTGCTAAAATGACCAAGGGAAGGGCTTATATACTTAAAGTATATACTAATAAAAAATAAAATAAAATGGCCAAGGGCTCTTTATTTCAGCTTTCTCCATACGCCAGACTCCAAGGAGATAAGAAAACATGTCACAACTTTTGTAGACGATGCAAAAATTAGTGTTTGATGATTAGTGTTTTAGATAATGACTAAAGTAGTGTTTATGAACCGGTTTGTGCTCTTTGGTAGAAGGATGCCAGGTACTGTACACGGTCAACATGGTATAAAATTGTATGTTTAGCTAAGTAATTACAAGAGTATTTAATTCTCAAAGACAGTCAAAACTCTTTCTACATCCATTACTGAAATAACTGGTAATAACACTGTCTGTTTGCTATTCCTGATTTATTTAAAAGCCTGGACTGCCAGCCATGGTGGCGTAAGCCTTTAATCCCAGCACTCAGAAGGCTGAGGCAGGAGGATTGCTTGAAGTTTGAGGCCAGCCTGGGCTACACTGCGAGTTCAGAGATAGTCTCAAGTACACAGTGAGACCCTGTCTCAAAAAAAAGGCTGAACTTCACATATTTTGCTAATGTAATATTATAACCTGCATGGAAAATCAGAACATTAAAGGTTAGTTTTTCCTCTGGACACAAGTGGCTTCTTTAATTTCTTCAGGCCTACAGCATAAATTGACACCCCCACCTCTCCTTAGTCCAGATGAATGGAAGAATATGCAGATGCTGGTACCAGGAGGTCAAACTCTAGCTTCATTTCCACGGGGAAATGAGGGAGGGAGCAGGATCTAGAAAGGAATGAAGCAAGCATGGACAGGTCTATTATCTCATTGGTCTATCATCTCTCTCCGCCGAAACACACTTGTACATGGAGAAATGGTGATATGGGTGCTGAGGATTCTCTATTTCCTTGGATCTAGCTTTGAGATAAATCCTTTTTACCAAAATAAATGGCCTCCTTTGCTTTGGTCAGAGGCACGCAAATGAACCTGAGCATACGAATCTAAGTGGCTGGTAATAGCATATGTAAATAAAATATGATGAGTCTCTCTGGGTCAAAATTAGAATAAGTACACAGATGTGAAAGATTACCTATGGGAAAGAAAAAAACCCCCAACTAAACAGATCAAAGATATAAAGCCAGGTGTGGTGGTACACAATTGTAATCCCAGCACTCATGGCTGAGGCAGGACTGTCATGAGTTTGAGGCCAGCCTGGGTTACATACTGAGTTTGAGGCCAGCCTGAACTACACAACTAAACCCTGTCTCAAAAATAAATAAATACAAATAAAAATAAGGATTCTTGAAGCTTGGCATGAGAATAGGAGATTCTGTGGGCAGGGAGGAGGTATGAACAGGACTGATGAAAGGATAGAACAAATAGCAAAGATGAGATTGAACAGAGGAAATGACTCAGCCACAGATTAGGGAGGAAATTCCAGTTAGGTAAGGTGTAGGTGACCATGTAGGGAGAGCTCATTTTTTATATAGAAGAAAATTCTGGAAACTCACTACCATGTCCTCACAAGTCATGGACACAAAGTGCAAGGTGAGTAGTCTACAAAACATTCCAACAGAAAAGAACATTTTACAGTTCTTTTTTGGGGGAATAAGGTCTCCCTATTTAGTTCAGGCTGAACTCACTATATACCCTAGGCTGGTCTTGATCCACCTGCCTTGACCTCCCAGGGCTGGGATTACAGGTGCAAGCCACCAAGTCCACCTGGCCTGTACTTTTAATGCTCAGGCAGTTTTGGTCCATCTTACTTTTCGTTTTGTTTTTTTGGTACTGGGGATAGAACTGGGGATCTTGTGCTTTGGTGGCAAGCGGCAGAACCACTGAGCTAAATCCCCAGCCCCTTGTTTTTGTTTTTTTGAGGCAAAGTCTTGCTATGTAGTTCAGGCTAGCCTTTAACTCCTTGTGATCCTCCTGACTCAGCCTCTGGAGTGCTGGGATTAGAGGCATGGCCACCACACCTGGCTTTTTCTTTTTCTTTTGAGACAGGGTCTCGCTATGCAGTCTAGGCTGTTCTGAACTTGAGATCCTCCTGCTTAGCCTCTCAAGCAAAGGGGTTAAAGTCACGTGCGTATTGTTTCATTCAAAAAACATTTAATAACCCAAGAAAACATCTTTGGCTATTCATATAGGATTTTATGTTGTAATCACAGTATTTTTCCTTACTTAAAAAAAATTTTTTTTTGCGGTACTGTAGGGATTGAACCTAAGTGCTCAACCGCGGAACTATATTCCCGTTCTTTTCTTTTTTTGGTACCGGGATCGAACTCGGGTCCTTGCGCTTGGGGGGCAGGCGGCGACTGAGCTAAATCCCCTGCCCTATATCCCAGTATTTTCTATTTCGATCCAAACATCCTACCATTAATGGTAAGCTGTGAGTTCATTCACTTCAAAAACATCAAAGTGTTAGTTTAATAAGCCTCCTTCAAAGTTATTTTTACTTCTATCCATCATCCTCAAGATCTAAAGGATTTCACGACCCTCTTCTCCCAAGAAAAAAAAGGAAAACAATCGCTCTTGGTCCTCTCTCAAACTCCCACAATACAACCCATCCCAGAAGAGGACAGAGGGGAACAAGTTACGACAGACGGCTGGGTGCAAGGAAACGGGACCAGAGCCCAGAAATCAGTCACCATGTCCGGAAGGACCTGGGCTATTTGCCAAAAGAGAACATTTCCCAAATCCTGGAAACCGGTGCTAAGAAATCAGAGATGGAGCGAGTGACAGGGAAAGAAGCCCGACCCTTTGGGACTGCCCGAAACATGCCAAGAATGCAGGAGAAACGTTAGGAATCCAGGGCGCGCCAAGAACAGAGGCAAGCAGGGCTTAAAAAACCCAGCTCCACAGGCAGGCACAACGCCGAGACCGTGAGGTAGAAAGCGGCGCCCGAGGGCTGCCTGTGAGAGAACAAGGCAGCGCGAAGACAAGCCAACTCGCTCCCAAAAGCCCGAGTCCGAGACACAGCACCCGTAACTTTGCCGCCGACCGGCGCCGGTCCGGGGGCGGGATTGAGGGCGGAATTGAGGGCGGGGCCCGAGGCCTCTCCGCCCCCCAGTGACGCCTGAGCGTGCCCAGTGCGCTTGCGTAGGGTGAGGTCGGACTCTATTTGGCTATCAAGCGAGTGGCGGCAGCGGCGTTCTTTACCCGGCAGGCTGTGCGAAGCGGCGGCCCTACGTCTATCCCTTTCCCAACCCTGCCCCTTCCCCCGCTCCGCCGCGGCCCCCCTTTCCCCAAAGTGAGTGAGTGAGGCGGGCAGATGGAGGAGGGACTGTAATGGCGGCGGCCGGCAGCTCCTTGCTCTGACCCACAGCAGGCACACAGCAACGACCCCCCTCCCCGCCCCTCTCCCGGCCGGCCTCCGCCCCGCCGTTGGCGCGGGGCCACTCTCCCCGGCCCTTCCCCCAGCAGTCGGCGTCTCGCCCTACGCCCCGACCGGGGCCCCACACACAATGGACGAGCTTGCCGGAGGCGGTGGTGGCGGCCCGGGGATGGCGGCCCCTCCCCGGCCTCAGCAGGGACCAGGGGGGAACCTGGGCCTTTCGCCAGGGGGCAATGGAGCGGCGGGCGGCGGAGGTCCTCCGGCCTCCGAGGGAGCGGGTCCCCCGGCAGGCCCCGAGCTGTCCCGGCCACAGCAGTACACTATCCCGGGGATACTGCACTACATCCAGCACGAGTGGGCTCGGTTCGAGATGGAGCGAGCGCACTGGGAGGTGGAGCGGGCCGAATTGCAGGTACCTGGCCGGGGTCGGTGTGCAGGACGGTGGCCGCGGTGGGGTTCCCGGCCGGGGGGTGGGGTCGGGACTCCCTCCAGCCGGAGCCCGCGTCCAGCGAGGCCGAGGAGACCTACCTGTGCGACTCGGGCAGTGACAGTCCCGGCGACGGCTCTTCCTCGAGCCCCCTCCCCCTTTCCCGAAGATGCCTCTTCCCCAGCCCTCACTAGCTACGCGGTGCGGGCTTCCTCGGAGCAGCCATTTTGACTTTTAGTATGGCGTCTGCGGGGGCTCCTCCGGAGGCGGCCTTCCCCGGATTCCGGGACTTGGGGCCGAGCTCCTCTCTGGGAGTCTGGCGTGGGGCTGCAGGGCACTGAGTTTGCTCTTGTTTATTCTCCTTGAGATGGAGAACCCGAGGAGACGGACGGACTGGGATGGGAATGTTACCACCTTTTCCTGGACCCCCCTCCCCGTTCGGATTTGGCCTGTCTTGCCCCCTTCCTCCGCGACTTGGTAGGCAGTTGCCCCTTGACAGCTACGCTCCTTTCTTGGGCTCCTATCAGGCTCTAGAGTTGCGGCAGACCTGTGAAGTTTTCACTTCCCACCGTCAACTCTTGAGTACCTACCTGGGATGCTGCTTTACTCACTTGGATTCCTTTTAGTTCTTTACTAGCTCACTAACGCTTCGAACACCGAATTTTTCTTTCTAGAGAGAGTACTCTTTTCTAGATCTCTCTCCTTCCACTCTTTTTTGTTACAAAGCCAAATTGATTCTCTGTGCTGTATTTGTGAAACGACTGAGAATTAACATTAGTTTGAAGTATAGCGTTTTTTTCTCCTCGTAATACTAACTTATGAAGCAAAGTTAAATGTACTTAATAATTGACAACCTCAGGATCTTTTGTAATTGAGTAGTTTTCTGTGTGCGTAGAGAGGTTAGTAGAGCTCGTTGTTCTTAATGTGAACTTTTGTTAAGCTGCGATACCTAACCTTTGGAACATATTAGTAGTTTGGGGTTCATGTCTTGGATTTCAAAATTGTTTCATCTTTTTGAAAAGATTATTTAACTTTGGTTTATTTGTGTTTATTTTTAAATTCTTTTCTGGCGCAAATTTAGGCTTAGAAGGAAAACGCATTTAAATAGTGTTGCACCTGTTCTTCATACTGCTTTATATTTGGGATGTAACTAGTTTTGTTCGTTGTCCTATAAAACCGTATGGTGAATAGTTAGGAATGATGGAGTGTTGAAAGAAGGAAGATTGAATTCATATAGAAAGGCCATCCTCAAATACAAATACCTTGTTTGATTTTTGAACTAGTAAACTTTTGACTCTACAAAGTGGGTCAAGTTAAACTTTTAAAAAGTAAAAGATACTTAAGTATTTACCCCCACACGGTACTGGAGATTGAACCCCCGGGCCTTTGCACAGAGCTGCATCCCCAGCTCTTTTTTATTTGAGACTAGTTGCTAAGTTGTCCAGGCTGGGCTTGAATTTGAAATCCTCCTGTCTCAGCCTTTCAGAGTGCTGAGATTATAGGCATGTGCCACCATACCTGGCTAAAATACTTACATGTTTTGACATATTTAGTTAATTTGATTATTTTAGAATCGTGCTTTGCTATACTATTGAGCTTTAAAAAATACAATTTTTAGTAATCTTTAGTCAAAATTGCCTGTGGCTGTGTACATTCTGCCTTAAAATACTGTACTTGGGATTTATATAGTTGCTGGTATACAGTTTTCAAGTACACTGCTGGAAACATCGTTTTCTGTGTGGATAGAGAAGTTAGTAAAGCATTTATTTTAAAAAAAAAATTGCATTGGGGTTACAGCTCCCTAATGCATCGTCAGTTTCTGATAGGGTTTTTGAAGTTTGTTCTGTTGTACATAAATTTTATTTTAACACTTTTCAGTTTAACATTGCATTTGTCACTCGTAAGGTTCATTAATGTTAGTAGCTGAGAAAATTTATTTAAATTAGTAAAACTTTTACATTAATAAAAGTATTTTCTGCCTCTCGTTTTCCCTTCCTTTTCTTCTCCTATTAATAGTAATGGAAAAGTCTATTAAGGAAGATTCCTTTTGCTTGCTAGCTTTCAGGTGATCTATTGGAGTGGTAGTTCTGATATAGCAGTCTAAGGTGGTTTTGAAAAAGTATTGCTACAGTATATCTAGACTTTTAATTTTTTTCCAGGGGTTTTACATTATTTCATACAGGCTTCTTTTGGAATAAAATATTTGTGGATTTTTGTGTGCTATATATTTCTTTTAAATGTTTTATTGAGTAACAG